ATAAAAAAGAAGAAGAAGAAGAAGAAGAAGAAGAAGAAGAAGAAGAAGAAGAAAGTTGGCCGCGTGTACCATGACAACACTTAGCTCTGAGAGCCAGGCATAATCGATGCGCAAGGTGCCAAAAGTACCTCATCTACTCCCTGATCCCAACTGAAGGCCCATCCCCACCTCTTCAACACTTAACATCATTGCGCCTCTATCGCAAGCCCATAACGAAAAAGTAACAACCGCACGGGTCGAAATATAGACAGCTATCTCCTTCATCACAGCGAACTGCCGCAGACAGCCGTTTCTTAAAGGCGCCGCAACATCACACCAGTTCCAATCCTCTCAAGCCATCGCCATCAAACAGAACGGCTTTCAAGAAACCGTCACCCTCTCGTATGACCACCTCGACTAACAGAGCATAATTCACAGGCCAACTAACTGGCTACGCATCTACAGGCTCGCTCCTCGCAGACGAATCCCTCCCCAAGACAATCATGCCAGGTAGTTCCAATAGAGATACAATTCCCGCCCCAGCGGCTTTTTAAAATTGCATTCCATGCGCCAATGAATGATGACTGGGTAAGTATAATACTCTTTTAGGATGTTCGTATATAGGGGATATGGAGGTTCGCTACCCATGTAGTTAGTTTAATTAGCTAGCTGTAGCTGTAGCTGTATCTACCTATACCAGACCGCACTCTACCAGATCTAATTGCGAGACAGGATGTCGTTTCCTTGATCCTCAAAACTGAAAGTTCTTGAAAGCCTCTCTCTCCAATCTTTTAAGGTCCTCTTCGAAATTCCGTATGCGCTTGTAATCGATCCGTCGTGCCGGACAAAAAGACATGTTGAATACAACAAGTCTTGAGACTACGTAGAACTAACCGGCATCATGAATCATTATTTTATTATTATATATATATATATATATATTTGGCAGCCAGAAGGGTTTGAAAAAGCTCTAACTAGTACGCACCTGTATCTCGAAGCAATTGACACTTTCTTTAAAGTATAGTTTTTTTTAATTTTTTTTTTTAATTTTTTCTTTCTTGATTCAAGGCTACAAGGCCCCCGGAAGCCAGCCCTGCGTCGCGAAGTTCGTATTGCAAATCTAACCACGAGCTCCGCCACTGCAGCTGTCCGCCTCTAAGCGAGGTAAACAGATAAGCTCGCTAGCGTCACGGAAGCAGATCTTCTCATGATAGCGGACACGCACCCTCCCGAGTCTGTCTACTCGAGCGAGCTAGCCTCCTCTCTACAGTCTCGGTATCAGCTCAAGTAAAGCATGAATGGGCGACGAGAAGGCATGAGTAGGAATTGCGTCCCGATCGAACGAACAGATGCGATTTCTGTATCATGGATTTTGCTATGGGTTTTTTTCTTCTCAGTATATATTTATATATGTATAAATCAACACTAAGGAAAGAAAGGACCAAAAAAAAAAGTAAAAAAATAAACAAAGGATAAGACTTGACTCAGAAGGTCCCCAAGATAATATGCTCTCGAGCACGTACGTACGTAGCGCATCGTCCCCCCTCCTCTCACCTACTACCAAGAAGTCCCATCCCTACGTTTTTCTGGATTGTAGTTTAGTTGGCTTTGGCATCTCTCGTATCATCAAAACGGCCACAAGAGTGCCTCCTCCGAGAAAACCCTCCGCTCGTGAGATGTGTGATAGTACAGAAGGTTACAGGCACCAGTCATCTCGTTCGAGGTAATACATCTATATGTATAGAATGCAAACACATTGCACAATAAACCAAGCTGAGAGAGAGAGAGAAAGAGAGAGAGAGAGAGAGAGAGAGAGAAAGCAAGAGACGTGATTGAGACATTGCATTATTCTCTGAAACGTGGAACGAGAGACGCTTTCTCTAAAGCCTAGAACGAGAGGAGCTTCTATCTATCGGAACCCCGCGACCACGCCACACGATTGGGAGCGACGGGGTAGTTTGCCGTGCCAAATCTCCCCCACCATCGCGGAAACTCGGAGTAAACAAAACAACGCGAGCAGAATCCTCCATCTCACGGTATCGTCTCACGTCGGCAGCGGTCGCCTCCACCCTTGCTTGCAACTCCGCTCTCGCGATTCATCCCCATCTCGACCGTTAACCCTTCGTGCAACTTCTGTATGCTTAGTTATCGCCCTTTCCCGGGGAAGGACCCGCGGGCGCGGTATAGACATTGTCTCCTCCTCGCTGCGGCTGGTAACTCGATTGTGGCTGTTGGAGTTCGATACCCGCCCCCCCGGCCTGGTTGGCGTGGCCACCGTAGTACCCGTCGTTGCTGTTGAACGTCGTGCCCGTGGCCTGGTTGCCCATGTACGGCGGCGGAGGGGCAACGTAGTGACTCGGTCCTCCGTTCCGTCCGTCCGCCCATTGTCCCTGTGGCGGCTTGGGGCCGGTGCCGGGAATCCAACCCGTTCCGTACATGGGAGCCAAGCCTCGCTGACGGCGGCGGCGGGTTATTCTGCGCGGGATGTTAGATTGGGGAGGTTCGTGTAGTTCTTGTGGGAGGAGGAGGAGGAGGAGGAGGAAGGGATCTGTGGGAAGAGGGAAGAGGGACATACGAGAACAGGTAGCCCATGAGGAGGAAGAATATGACGACGAGAATGAGCGCGACCCAGCGACCCCAATTGTCCCAGCGATCTTCGAAGTCCCGGTCGTCATCGTCGTCGTCCAGGTAGAAGCAATTCTGGCCGTTGTTGTCGCAGCTGGAGCGGGCATTGTGAGTTAGTACAGGGGAAGGGGAAGAGTTGGAGAGATGGAGAGATGGAGGGAGGGAGGGGGAGAGAAAGAGACAGAGAGAAGATATACCGTAAATCTCTGGCCAATAAACCTGCTAGAAAGTCTGCTGGGGCCATGTTGATGTGTGGAGGACTGGGTCGGGGGCAGTCAGTATTGATGATGGATGGTAGAGGTTGAGGGTGAGGGTGAAATTGAGGTTGAGGTCGAGGGTGATGTGGTGGTGGTAGTGGTGGTGGTGGTGAAGGAGGTGGATGGAAGGTGGAATGGTGGAAAGCGGAAAACAGTGAAGTTGGTGAATGAAGACTGACTGCCTTGGCTGCCCAGCCCTTCCTCTTCCTGTTCCCTTGCTTTGCTCTGTTGGTCCGGGTGGCGCTGTCATACGAATATGGGTAGGATTTATTGTATGTGTAATAAGGAATAAGGACAACATACGGACGGACTTACTTTGACCCCGTCGGAGTTGTACAGCTACAGCTACAGCTACAGCTACGTACGTACCTAGGTACAAACGGCATGTGGTCGCTGGCAATAAGAAAAAGTGTTTGTTCACCAATAAATACCGGTACCCTACACTAATAGATCGGAAGGAAGACGGTGTCGGGCCCGGAAAGCTAAAGCTCAGCCACCACGGCTACATCATTTCTTCCAACAGACAAGAGTTTGGGTGACGTGAAGAAGAGACAATGAGTGGTGATCCCGAATAATCGAATGACAGATCTTGAGATTGGTATTCCTATGGATGTGGATGTGGATGTGGATGTTGACATTGGTATTGACACTGGTACTCGGCAGTAAGCGACCACGACCTCACCATGACCCATGACCCATGAAGATCAGGATATCAGATGTAGATACTTATATATATATATATAGACATATATAGACATGTATAGACATACAACTAGATAGACATAGATATACATAGATATACACATATATATACATTCATATATACGTACATATATACATGCACATATACACACATACACACATATGCCTACTCATACATACAGATATATACAGATATATACCTACACAACACGCTGTATATCCATCCGATCACTCATGACCTCCCCACCAACCTGTCAACTCCCCCCGACAAGGAATATCCCCCATCCCCATCTCCATCCCCCGTCATGCTGTTCATCCAATCACGTGCCCTCATGGACCATCCATGCAGCTGCGTCGCCTCGAGTGCCAGCGCATCGGTGGTTCGTGCGTTGCATCTGCATCTGCATCTGCATCTGCATCTGCATTGCCAGCAACGCAAGCCCACTGGACTTGGGGAGTATCTATTTACTTGCCTCTCCTCCACAATGTGAAAGACTTCTCACTCCGCCCTCCATTTGTTTCTTTGCGCATGGGAGCCCGAGTGACGGAGTGGGGAGTAGAGGAAGTGGTCGGGCCCAGAAAGACAGGACCTCATTCCTCCAGACATTCTTAACAGCCTGTCACTTGGCCAGCGCCATCTTCGAACGCCTTCCTCCCCCCCTCCGAATCGGTGCACGGATAGGAATTCCTTGACTTCACTACACTTCACGGCGACGTGTATCGATTTCGAGAAGACCTCTGAGATTCCTCGGCTGGCTGTCTCTCTCCGTGAGAAGATGCTGACTGAGTTACACCCCCTACCCCCGCTACCTCCAACATTCAACACCCAGCGATGCCTTCAACAACAACAAAGCTCCGCCAACCAAGAGAGAGAGACCTGGGCCCTCCTCGCACCCCGCGAAGCCACGCTGATGCCTAAAAACGAGGAAGAAAGGAACAAGGGAAGAAAGTCGAATGGCCAACCTCAAGCGAGGCCAGTACCAATTCGATGCGAAGGAACACACAACGCTGCTGGTCATCAAGGTCGTCGAGTCGTGGCGCACATGGTGCGTGGAAGAGTAGCGAGACAGGCAAAGAAACCCCTTTCGTATGTCGAGAATCCACGAGAAGTCGAGTAGGAGAAGGTAAGAGTGGTAGCCGTGCGCCGAGGAGTTATATGCGGGGTCCTTGCAGACCCGAGGGGGAATTTTTGTCTTTCCCCCATTATGTTATCATTCGTCATTATGGAATCCATCCGTTCCGATGGTTCTTCTTTTTTGCATGAGATATGGAACCCTACTTGCTGGCACGCGCGACAAGCCACTGCAATACGGCGTCTAGATTGGTCTCCTCTTTGGCACTGATGCCATAGCAGCTCACTTCACGGTGGGAGATGGCCTTCAGATCCAGCGCATCGATCAGCTCGTCCGTGGACAGATGATCACGGAGGTCCGACTTGTTACCTAGGACTAACAGTGGGATGCCCTCCAGCACAGGCTTCTCAAGGAGCAGATGGAGCTCGTCCTTTGCGACTGGCAAAGCATCGGTATCGGCCGAGTCCACGATGAACACGATGGCATTCACCCCCCGGCAGTATCGCTCCCACATGGACCGAAACCTGGGCTGGCCGCCGAGATCCCAACACTTGAGCGTCACATGGCCTTTCTGCACACGCTTCATGTTAAAACCAACTGTCGGGATGGAGCTACGCGAGGCAGCGAGTATGGTCAGCCGGGGGGGATTATTTGTCGGTCGGGGGGATGAAGTTGGGGGGAGAGGACGGTTGGGATCTGCCACTGCACGCTGTGGTTGCACAAGGATGGGAAACGTACTCGAGGGTGAATTCGCCGCCCTGCATGCAATACACAATCAGCGTCCGTCGAGGAGGGAGGACAGGGCAGCTCTTACCGCCAGTACTCTCAACAGCGACGTCTTGCCAGCATTCTGCAGCCCGATCATGGTGATATCCATCTCGGTGGCCCTGTTTTCCATATCCGGGTCAGCATCCTGTCGGGGGGATCATCTGCTTCCCGCGGGAGTGGGATACGCCGACATGGAGGAGATGGGTAGCAGCGACTGACCAGAACAACCTCAACAGCCAATCGTAGACCCGTTTGAAAAGGCCTGCCATGACTGTGCGACTCGTTCCGCGAAGGTAGGTGAGGGAGTGGGCGAGATCGAGGCGTGTATTTTCTTCTTTTTTTGCTTTGTCGGTGTTTGATTTTGATGATCTTGGTCGGGATATGGGGATGCTCACTGCATGCTTGTTAGCCCGACTCTGAAAGGTGGTTACATACATATGTCAGGTGTAGGTGCAGGTGTCTGTGTCTATGTATAGATGTGTATGCAGGTAGGTGATCCAGAGTGAGGAAGGGTATGCAGGTAGGGAGGTGGTGTTCAACGCGCTCCTCGCTCGCAGGGAAATAAATGGCCACCAAAGCCTTCCGCCCGCCGTCAGCCGCCCGCGATGGAATGAATAGATGGCATTGCACATCCCGCCGTCACCAGCCATCGCGCATGGAGGAGGCAGTTGGGTTTCGCCAAACCTGATCGCAAGAAGAATATTTAGCGCCCCGGGGGAGGTACACGAACCTGGAACGTTGTCTGCGTATTATAATCGCGATCAGATTCCTGCCTATCGACTCTCACTCCAACTTGGTTGTTCTTGAATCGGTGGGAAGGTTGCTGTTGTTGTGGATTTGTTGTCGTCGTCGTCGTTGTTGAAGCTTGTGTATGGGTTGTAGGTTGCAGATTGTTGGTTGTAGGTTTTGGGTAGTAGATATTACAACTACTTAGGGCCAGCCGCCAGGCACTACGGATTTCCTCACCGATAAGCCGCCCCGCCCCTCCCGCCGCGCTAAGATTGCCGTTGCCTCGCCCCGCCTTTGCTTGGCGAGTAGAGGCAACGGAAAAAAAATTAAAAATTCCCCAAACATCTCTCCCAGAGCGAACACTCAACATCAAAATGTCCCGCTCGGCATTATCCTCCAGCGGCGGCACCGATACCAAATGGTCGGTTGAATACGATACCCTGCGCCGTGAAAATCTCTTCCGAAACCCCCCCCAAGACCACTCGGCATATCCAGCCCTCAAAGATGCCGTCGCCCCCCATATCGAGTCCTTCAACGCGTTGTTTGGGGAGAATGGAACCATCGCACAGGGCCTCCTCGATATTGGAGAGAAGGTTTACTTCGATGGAGACGACAGAGAGGGGCCCGCGGGCAAGAATTCCCTGAGCCTCAGAGCCGTGCAGTTCTTTCTGAGCAGGCCGATGCTGCCCCCACACAACAAGTACTCCACCAGGAACCGCGAAATCCTACCATCAGAATGTAGAGAGCGCCATGTCACCTACCGAGCCGACATGGCTGTGCAGTTCGAGTTCAGGATCAACAATGGAGACCCACAGACTTTCGTCCGGGGCTTCGGGAAATTGCCCTTGATGGTGATGGTGAGTGGCCCACCCAGCGAGTAGGAAAAAGAAAGAGGTGTTTGAAAAGAATGAAAAGAAAAAGAAAAGAGAACTGACCTTGTACAGGGCACACGATGTCACCTGGAGAATAACACGCCTGCTCAGCTGGTAGAACGGAAGGAGGAGGCCGAGGAGCTGGGCGGATACTTCGTGGTGAATGGGATCGAGAAGATTATCCGCCTCTTGCTTGTGAATAGGAGGAATTTCCCCATGGCAATCGAGCGCCCGTCCTTCAGAAACAGAGGAAAAGAGTACACGAAATATGGAATGCTCATGCGATCAGTCCGCCCGGATCAAACATCCCAGACGAATGTTCTCCACTACCTCAACGACGGCAACGTTATTTTCCGATTCTCGTGGCGCAAGGCCGAATACCTGATACCAGTTATGATTTTGCTGAAGGCTTTGACGGAGACGAATGATCGGGAGATCTTTGAGGGTCTGGTTGGGGCTGCTGGGTCCGAGGGAGCGAACAACTCATTCTTGACAGATCGAGTTGAGGTGCTGCTACGGACACACAAGGCCTCTGGCCTCCACACGAAGAGCAAGACCCGGGCATACCTGGGAGGGTTGTTCCGACCCGTTCTGGGAGTTCCGGACAACATGTCGAATTATGATTGTGGAACCGAATTCCTGCGAAAAATTGTTCTGGTCCACCTCGGTAATGTCAATGTCACGCATGTCCAAGACAGCGACAAGTTCAAGATGCTTCTTTTCATGACCAGAAAGTTGTATGCGTTAGTCGCTGGAGACTGCGCTGTGGACAACCCTGATGCCGTACAGCATCAAGAGATTCTACTGGGTGGTTTCCTCTATGGCATGATCATCAAGGAGCGACTAGATGATTGGATGACAAGACAGCTGAGGCTTGCGATACGCCAGTACGTCCGGAAAAGCCCCGAGAATAACTTTACGACGCCGGAGTTTCTAAAGCAATTCCCTGTCAAGCTGTGTGGGAAGACGAATGAAAACTTGGGAGGTGCTCTTGAGTACTTCCTGTCCACCGGAAATCTGGTCAGTCCGACGGGCCTGGATTTGCAGCAAGTTTCTGGTTTCACAGTCGTCGCCGAGAAGATCAACTTTTTGCGATTCATCAGTCATTTCCGCATGGTTCACAGAGGTAGTTTCTTCGCACAGCTGAAGACCACCACTGTCCGAAAGCTGCTGCCAGAGAGTTGGGGGTTCTTGTGCCCTGTCCACACTCCCGATGGGAGCCCCTGTGGTCTGCTGAACCACCTTTCGCACAAGTGCAGAATCCTCACGAGTGCTTCTGATGTTTCGGCATTACCGGCGCTGGTTGTGGAGTTGGGTATCGTGGGCGCGGGATCTGCTTCGACCAAGGAGGCGGTGGTTGTGACGCTCGATGGCAGGATCCTCGGATGGTGTACCCCAAAGCAGGCAATAATGATTGCAGACACTCTTCGCTTTTGGAAAGTTGAGGGACGCCGCAATGTCCCCAAAGACTTGGAGATCTGCTGGGTTCCAAACTCCCACGGTGGCCAATACCCAGGTATCTACATGTCGGCAACTCCATCCCGGATGGTCCGACCCGTCAAGTATCTTCCCCTGGATGCCGAGGATCTCATCGGACCTCAAGAACAGCCGTTCATGTCCATCGCTGTCACCGAGCCCGAGATCATATCCGGGGAATCAACCCACGTCGAATTCGATCCCACCAATATTCTCTCCATTCTTGCCAACATGACGCCCTTCTCCGACTTCAACCAGTCTCCCCGAAATATGTACCAATGCCAGATGGCCAAACAGTCGATGGGAACACCAGGGACAGCTACCCGGTACAGATCAGACAACAAGACCTACCGACTGCAGACTGGACAAACACCCATCGTGCGCGCGCCTCTACACAACGAGTACGGATTTGATAACTTTCCCAACGGGATGAATTCTGTCGTCGCTGTCATTTCGTACACCGGATATGATATGGACGACGCCATGATAATCAACAAAGGCTCCCACGAGCGTGGATTCGGTCATGGTACGGTGTACAAGGTCAAGAAGGTGAATATTAGGGAGGGTAACAACTCGAGATCTTCGAAAAACGTCGAAAAACTCTTCGGATTTGCCCCCGGGTCCGAGGTCAAAGCCCGGGTCAAGGCCATGATCGACGAGGATGGTCTCCCTCGCATCGGACGTCTCGTTCGGGAAGGCGACATGCTTTGTGCATGGCACACCGTCTCTCGGGATGCTGAAGGCAAACTCGTCAATAAAGACGGCATCACCCACTTCGAGAAGTATAAGGATGGTGAGATGGCCTTCATCGACGAGGTGAGGCTGATCGGAAATGAAAACGGCGCCGAACCGCTGCAAGTCTGCTCTATCAAATTCCGCATCCCCCGTTCTCCAGTCGTCGGAGACAAGTTCTCATCTCGCCACGGACAGAAGGGGGTCGTCTCCCAGAAGTGGCCCAGCGTCGACATGCCCTTCACGGAATCGGGAATGCAGCCCGATGTTATCATCAACCCTCACGCATTCCCGTCGCGAATGACCATCGGCATGTTTATCGAGTCGCTTGCCGGCAAGGCTGGTGCTCTCCATGGTCTCGCACAAGACAGCACGCCCTTCCGATTCGATGAGGAGAACACGGCTGGTGATTACTTCGGCCATCAGCTGATGAAGGCTGGGTACAATTACTACGGGAACGAGCCGATGTATTCTGGCATCACTGGCGAGGAGCTTCACTGCGACATCTACATCGGGCTCGTCTATTACCAGCGTCTGCGCCACATGGTGAACGACAAGTTCCAAGTCCGAAGCACGGGACCAATCACTCCATTGACCCGCCAGCCTGCCAAAGGTAGAAAGAAGGGCGGCGGTATCCGTGTCGGAGAAATGGAGCGTGATTCTCTACTTGCTCACGGTACCGCCTTTTTGCTGCAAGACCGTTTGCTCAACTGCTCTGATTACTCGCGCTCCTGGATCTGCAAACAGTGCGGCACTTTCATGTCGATACAGCCGACCTTCTGGGCCTTCGCAACAAACCGGTTAAGGGGCACCGGCGTCGTCAGATGTAGGAGGTGCGCGCATAGAGCCGAAGACTCCACCGGTGGGGCCGAAATATGGGAGGATGCAGAGGGTCAGAGATGGGCTGGGGGCGAGCACACGACGATTGTCGCTGTGCCTGCTGTTTTGAAGTATCTGGATGTTGAACTCGCTGCCATGGGTATCAAGCTCAAGTATAATGTCGGACCGTGAGCAAGTCTTACTACTGCGATGGGCGGCGTTTAGGTTGTACGGCATTCATGGGAGCGCTGTCTGTCTGGCTGGCTGGGAAAATATTTAGACCTGCTTGAACTCATTGCAGGCGAAGTTGATGTTAATGATATAAATGTTCATCGGCCCCCTCCCCTTTCGCTTTGATATCGCTGGGCGTCAATCGATCCTTCTCAGGACATCGCTTACGCAGCATCATAATACAGCAAACAAGTCTCCGGCGGCTTGCAGTTGTGGAACATATGCCCCTGGGCCAACAATGGCCTCCTGCATCTCGCTTCAGCCTTTACACACGAAGTCTTTTTCTTCCCTTCTTCCTTCGAGGAAGCATCACACAAAAGTTCGAGCTCCTCTTCCGATACTCGTACGCTATTGCACAGATCCCAGGACCGTTGATTTACACCCAACGGTCCTTGCAGTGCTGTCCTCGGATGCAGCGGGTCAAAGAAATGCCCGGTTTCAAGGTGGCCCCCTGGGATGCAATATCTCTGGAAGAACGAAAGAACAATTCGAGTGGATGGTGAAGTCTCAATCAAGGAGATCTTGCACTCTTGTCTTACATCGCCCGTGGACGGGTAGCTCCTTCTTCGCGGTATACCGACAATGAACCTTCGTTTGTTCCACCGCGCAGACTTCAACTCTTCTCCCGGCATGCTAGACTGTTGATAGATAGACAACTTTTGGAAAACGCTCGCTTTTGGATACTCGTTCAGTAGCTTAGTCGCTCGCTCGTCAGCTCTCCAGTACTCTCTGCGTCCCATCCTTCTCTCGTTTCGCTTCGGCCATCAAAACAATCCGTCAAACACAAAACGAACATCTCTTCAATTGTAGCCCGAGGAGAGAGCTTCTCCAACTTACGCTTCGTTTGATACCGGTGATCACGGCATGCCTGTTCTTCCACTCTTCACCTTGCTGGCTATCCTCTGCGCCATCTTCCCTCGCCCAGGAACCGCGCCGCCGACTCTTCAACTGGCAGCATACCCTTCCTACGACTACGGCGCATACCCCCCGGAATTTTCGAAACGCCAGAACACTGCCTTTATCGCGGTCACAGGTGCGCAGACAGGAACCGGGCAGAATGGATCGGCGCCGTTGCGATTGGAGGTGAGGGAGCTGGAGAAAGATCCTGTGGCGTGGACTTTGTACATTCTGGGGCTGGATATGATGCAGTATGCACCGCAGACAGAGATGCTGTCTTGGTATCAGATAGCCGGTATGCTGTCCAAATCTTGCCCCGCGGAGGTAAACTAACGAACCGACCAACACAGGAATTCATGGCCGACCTTTTATTCCATTTGACAATGTCCAGCCGAGGCCAGGAAATGATCAGAACGGGTATTGCAACCATGTATCGATCCTATTTCCGACATGGCATCGCCCATATCTTGCTCTATACGAGGTCAGCCCCCCGTACGGTTACGGAACAACTTGTCACATAGTGTACTCATCAGATCTCAGCAAGTACTCTACGAACATGTCCAGCGCATCGCCAACCAGTTCTCCGCAGGTTCAGTCCGAGATCAGTACGTGGCTGCGGCAGCAAATTTCCGAATACCATATTGGGATTGGGCAGCGTTGCCGGCTGATGGGGCCAGCATCTACCCTCAAAGTGTTGGAGGATCTCCTTCGATTTCTGTAGATGGTCCCGCGGGTGTTCAAACAATTGCAAATCCGCTTTACAGCTACCGCTTTCAGCCCTTGGACCCATTACAACTACCAAATCCACCAGTACGTGAAGAAATGTCTGGCAGAACATATCTACTGACATTGGCAAAGTTCGACAAATTCAATCAGACGATGCGGTACCCAAAGATTCAAGGTCCATTTCCAATCTCTCAGAATAATCTCGTTGCTGAGCAGCTCGACAACAGTGCAGCGTCCTTCCGCAGTCGCCTCTACAATCTGCTCACTATGTACCATGACTATACGACATTCAGCAATGAAGCATGGATATCGTCCATCAACCCAGAGCATTACGATTCCCTGGAGAGCATCCACGATCAAGTCCACGGCTTGATAGGCAGCGGCGGGCATATGACATACATCAACTACTCAGCTTTCGACCCTCTGTTCTGGCTGCACCACGCAATGATTGATCGTGTCTTCGCCATGTGGCAGGCCATTAATCCGGACAGCTACATTGTGCCGGAGCCGGCCATCTTCAACACGTTCACGGCATCATTTGGTGATACGCAAGACGTCAACACCCCGTTGACTCCATTCCACAAGGATCTGTCTGGGGCATTTTGGACATCAGATACTGTTCGAACCACTGAGATCTTTGGATACACCTACCCGGAAACTGCCAAGTACGATAGTATCAATGTTCGCAATCAAGTTATCGCAGCTACAAACAAGCTCTACGGCCCCCCGGTCGATGCAGAATCCAAGGTCCGACGACGTGATGCGAATAACACAGCGGATAAAGAGCCGGAGTGGATTGCCAATATTCGCGTCAAGAAGCATGCTCTGGGTGTTCCCTTCTACATTCACATTTTCATCGGCTCCTTCAACCGGGACCCGTCCTCCTGGTCATTCGAGCCCAACCTGGTTGCGACGCATTGCATCTTCGTCAAGGCTACGTCCTCGCCCCCCAACGCCATTGATGATAAGAACGTAGATCAGCTCGTCACTGCGACGATTCCACTAACGGAGAGATTGCAGGAGGATGTCAGGAGCGGGTTGGTAAGGAGTCTCGCCCCCGATAACGTGACGCCTTACTTGGCCAGCAAGCTCAGTTACCGAGTCAGTCTGCTCAATAATACCGAAGTGCCAAATACCGCTGTCCCAAGCCTTAAGATCTCGGTCTTCAGTATAGACGTGGAAAGAAGAGAGAACGTGGAAGAGCTGCCAAGATGGGGGACGCCTCGAGGGCATTTGGATGTAAGTATGGGGTCGTAGAGCGTGTGTTACCTGTAACAGATTAATGGTGTATGTAACCGAATTTGAATTTATGATTACCTACGGTAAATCTCACATACTATGGCCGCTCAATCAGGCGTCGCAAGCCTTTGACTCTCTGAGAAGGTTAAACAATCAAGTTATGTAGCCGTGCGCCTGTTACAGCTGTCAAAGGCAGTGTTGATTACTACCTCTAGGAGTACGCCCTGTACCGAGACAGAAAAGATGAAGAGAGGAAAGAGAACTAGGTAGATACAGGAGAAGAGGTCTTAAAGGCAGATCTGCCAAGAAGGGAACCAGAGGTCACGAGGTAACGAGTGTAACCTATATGCGTGTCCAAGTTCCAAGGCCTCGTGCCTGCACTTACGGCACAGTGGTCGTGCCACTGCAACTGGGAGGTGGAATCGTGGGGTTTCGTGATGACTTGAGCCGCGGCGAGATGACTCAGATGAGGTTTCAATAGAAATTCAATCTGATCGAAAAAAGGAAATGCTCGAAAGTCGGAGGAGGGTGGAGGGGTGGTGATCTTTATCCCTGGGCCGCTTGGTAAGTAAGTGATTCACATGTAGCACGCACCAGTGAGTGCCTTCATGGATGTTTACCGAAAGGGGCATGACAAGCGAATGTCAACAGTCAGATTTGAAAGGTCATCTGGGAGCTTGGGGATACCTAAACAAGGACTGAACTTCATCCTCGCCTGAAGGATCTCAAATGCAGTAAAGACAGGATGCTGTTGTCGTCTTTTGGGCCGAACATTGTCTTGCTGGGATGACCCGTACGAACCCGCCAACTCGGGCAAAGGTGGAGTTGTCGGCTGATCGCAACGTTGTGCGCTACTGTTTTTCCATTTTGCCACCTTGGAAGACTATTTCCGAGATCGTGGTAGTCATCTGCTAAGTATGAGAGAGGATGGATGATGGGCACTGTGTCAATGGGCTTGGCTGTCTTGAGACTCTAGCTGCTGCGAAAAGCATCGAGAAATCCGCGCCATATAATCATTAGGCTATGGATGCAGCAACTTCCAAAACTCGCCTCGCTTCTCCAATAAAACCTTGGGTTCCCCAATTTCTACGCATCTACCTTGATGCAGCACCACAACCTGGTCAAAATCCATCACCGCTGCTAGGCGATGGGAGATACTGATAACAACACAGCCTCTGAATTCTTCGCGGATCAAGTCGTCCATCCTACGCTCGGTCTCGCTGTCTACCCCACTGGTCGCCTCATCAATCAGCACTATCTTGGATTTTTTCAACATGGCCGCCGCCAAGCAGAATAACTGCTGTTGTCCGTGAGAGAGCCCGATCTTCGAGATGTCTGCTTCCAAGCCGCCTCGTGCAGAGATCAGGTCCCAGAGACCTACCTTCTGCAACGCTGTGATCACGGCATCTTCATCCTGCGCCAAGCTCGGGAGATTCAGATGTACTGATCCTGGGAGGAAGTATGGCGTCTGTGGGATGACGTTGATACTCTTCCTAACAGCCTCGGGTCGGAGAGTGGATATGTCGACACCATCGACGACAATCATTCCCTCCGAGACCTCTAGAAGACGAAGCAATGTCGATACCAAAGTTGATTTTCCAGAGCCTGTCCTGCCACAGATGCAGATCTTTTGACCAGGTAGAACATTGAATGATATTTCGTTAAGCGCTGGACTATCGTTATCACTGATGGTCTGATTAGCATTTGCTCTTGATTCAGCGAGGGGCTTCACAAACTTATAACTCGCCGTGACGTTCTTGAACTCGATAGCTCCACTACCTAGCCAGCCATCGGGTGGCTCTTTTGAGTTTCCGGAAGAGTCCTCCGCCTCGACATTATCAACACAATCTTTGATTCTGCTGATTGCTCCAAGTGAGTTCTCCAGCTCTGTGTAGCAAACAATGAGCTGCGACATGTTCAGACTGAACCCAATCACACTTGACAGACCAACTCCAAGTGTTGCTGCGTCTGTCTGATCGCGTAGTTGTGTCGCCAGAGTCACCAGCGTCGTGGCCAACCCAGCAACGACGAGGTCGAGGACGAAGTTCAGCCATCTCTGGATCATGAAAAGCATATAAATCGCTTTCTTGGACTCATCAATCCGAGTTTGGAACGCCATTTCGAAGGCGGACTGCCATCCGAATGCTCGAATGGTGGCCAATCCCTCCTTGGTCTCCGTCAGGCTTGTGTAGATTGGAGCTTTGAGTTCGAGCTCGATGACGCGGAGCTGCTGAGAGGTCAAGAGGTAGTAGCGGACGAGGATCCATAGTACTATCAGAGTGACAGGAACCGCGATTGCCAGATAATTGGAGCCGTAAGCAATAAACGCCAGCTGGACCAGGCAGATCATGAAAACTATCGGGTCTGTTAGCTGAGAATTCCCAGATACTGGTTGGTACTTACTGGAGATCGCCTGGAAGATGTTCACTGGAAGCATTCCATTGATAACAGCCATGTCTTGACTGAATCGGTTCAGAATTATTCCTGAATCTACCGTTGTGAAGTATGAGAGGGGAGCGCTGCAACGTGTTAAATCTGAGCATGTTTTTTGAGATTTCAAACTCACTTCATAATCGAACTCAGTAATTGCTCATGTAGTCCTCCAGCAGTCGCTGGTACAACCGACATCCACATCCACCTTCCAAAGTCAGCCTAGAAAGTTTGTTCGCTAGAAGTACTGACCAGAAGAAGAATGTAAAACTCAAGCAAGCCCCAATAGCGAGGAAAAAGTAGAGGCCAATGTACGTCGATTGGCGCCGGCCGTCAGCCTCCGTCCACCATTGAACCAGGATACCTTGAAAGTTAGTCTCGAACGATCCAAGATTGGGTCATTGATCTTACGTTGAAGTCGGGTAGCAAGTGCTAAGGCCATGACCGCAATCAATAATACAATTACCCTCAGTGCACCGACGTGTCTTAGGTAGAGAGAATAGACAGATTTTTCGCGGCTTCCAATCACGCTTGTTCCCGCCGTATTAGGTAGCTTCGATTTCGGCCCAGGCTTCCGTATTGCAGAAGTCTTCGAACCACTGGATTGGACTTCTTGATGATGGTCGCTATAATCCTCTTGAGCAGCAGAATCCTGGATATATCCTCCCCGCGACTTCAAATTCTGGAAACTACCAAGCTGACTGATGGTACCTTTTTCCAGGACAATCACTTGGTCGGCAATGGCAAGATGACGGGCTGTTGGTTTGTTTAGCGAGAAAACACGAATAGGAGAGCTAGCAGACAAACCGTGTTGTGTTATGATGACAGCAGTCAGATTGCATCGTCTGATCAGTCCATTTGGAGAAAGGAGGCGTTCCGAAATCTTCATCGCCGTTCTTGCATCCAGTGACCTGAAAACATCGTCAAGTATCAACAATGGCGCCCGAGAATAAAGCGCCCTTGCAAGTGCCTCGAAATACAGTTAGCTACATTCCAAATAAGGACTGCAGTCAATACGAACCAGCCTCTGTCTCTGTCCATCACTAAAAGCAATTCCCCGACTACCAACCATGGTGTCATGCCCGTCCGCCAGAACACTGAAATCTTCCTCTAATGCACAAACGTTGACGACTTCGTCGAACCATGACGAGTCAAACTTTGAGGTCCCAATAATGCAGCTACGAAGGGTTCCGTTTTGGACCCAAGGGGTTTGATCGCAATAGGCAATGCGTGCAGAGAGCACGGATTTTTCTCCTGCCCGGAGTTCGAGTTCTCCGAGAATCGACTTCAGGAGCGTGCTCTTCCCACTGCCGACGGAACCGGCAATGGCTGTAATTGAGTGACGAAGCACGTCGAAGGATATTGATTCCAGAGCCGGACTCTCAGCCCCTTTGTACCCGAAGGCGGCATCTTTGATCGATATCATGATGTTGTAATCCAATGATCTGGTCTTTTCTGTAATCGAAGCATCGCTGTCAGGGAGCTTGTAGACGTTGCATATCTCGTGAGACATCGGCGTTTGAGGCTGTCCATCTGCCTTATCGGGAGACTTTAAATATGTTTGAACTCGGTCCAAGCATGCTAATGATCTGGTAATGCTTGTGATAGACATCAAGGCCAGACTAAGAGGGCCTGTGATTAGTTCGACAATAGTAAGGACTGTGAATGCTCGTGATGCTGAGAGTTTGCCTGCTCCTGATCCATGCTCGACAGCAAGGACGTAAAGCGTAAGGGTAACTGGGGCCGAGAGTTGTTTCGGAATAAGCACTGCAAGCTGGTTATTTATTTGTTTTCGTTGAATGTTTCTGACGGATCGTACCTAACACATTTACAACTGACATACATCGTCGGAACGCGCCAGATGCATCTAACTCTGTAATACGAGCAGCCTGAAGTGTTGTGGCAATGTAGCTAGACAAGCCCATCATCTTGACAGTCTTCATGTTGGAAAGCATTGTTGAGGTCAGACCGACACGCTTCTGTACCGCTTGGTTCCATGTTTTTTGTCGGGCTGGTAATAATTTGGAAACGTAGGAAGTTGCTACAGTACAGACTTTATAACTCGTCAGTTGACATACTTCCTCTGTTAGTGAATGCTTACAGAGTGTAACTATGATAGGCCCTGTACAGGCCCAACCGACTTCTATTTGCAGTAGGTATGTCCCTATCCCAAGTTCAATTATACTCGCCCATAGAGAGTGTATCTTCTCAATGGTTGGAGTTAATTGATCGATGTCGGCGGTGACAAGTCCTGTGTTGTGATCAGCACACTTCTACTGGTACCCAGAGTGCTAATGAAGAGGAAAGGGAAGGGTCTCTTCACTCAGGACGCAAGACAATAATGACGTTTTTAGAATCAGATGGAAATAACGACTTGCCTGCTGGGGCTGCTTCCTGGGCTGCCGTAAGTTCAATCTCCAACGACTTGTGATAAACAATGTCGATCAGAGATCCGCGGATCAGAGTGATACTGCGGTAAAGCAAATGGTTGTAATAGCCGTTGAAAATCTGTAGTGTCAGAGTGGATTTCCCTGGATGGAGGGGGTAGTATTACTGCAAGGCCACAATACACCAGAACCGTGGCTCCGATGAGTCCATATCCTATGTTTTTTTCTTCAGATTCACCCTTCGCAACATAGTTCAGTGCACGTTTGATGAGTAGTGGTTGAGCATAAGTGAATCTAGGAGTGGCAGAAAGTTCATTAGGAAGTATTCTCGCTTGGGCCTCGAAGGAAGGGGTCAGTTGCATTTACTTACCCGATGAGAACGAGACGAGGGACGACGGGAGCAAGAACTGGCCATTTCAGAGTAGTGACCACCGCGCCTAGTAGCGCATACTTCTGATTGCGGTCAACTGTATTGTCTCAGCGCACGTTCTTCAAGATGTAGAGCAACGCACCCGTTTTCCATGTTGTTCTCAGCGGTGGGCTGTATCGCGAAGTTCTTAAGCCCGAGTCGATGGGAAACAAGTCACTGGACTCCAACTGTTTAGTACGTCCCAGCAAAAGAATGCGGTTGAGCCACCAGAAGGTTCTCAAGCTGTACAGCCCAGCTGTATCCTCTGGTGATACATGGACCTCGCGTTCTTGCTTGGGGATAGCCTCCAGGATTAGCAGGAGAATTCTCAAAGCCAAGCCCACCGAGTCCGAAGTGGCGATACGTTGGAGGCCGGCGTAAGAGCTTGCAAGCCAGAGCGTGCGAAGCTGCACAATGTCGAAGAGACTTGCGAAGAACAGGTAGACATTCAGGACAATCGATGGCCTGATAGACTTTCGTCCTTCACTGTACGACAGGATACATACCGACAGCGATGCTAGCAGGCTGAGAGTCGCCGATGGCAGTGACCATTTGGTTCGAAACGAGGACGGCAACGCCCACAAGACCAGAGTGACCAGCCGGATAATGGAATCGGCGATGGCGACACACTTGATGGTCGAGTATCAGCCCTCTGTTCGGATTAACTTCTTGGGTACGACGCACCTGCTTGATGATCTGGAGCAGGGGTTTGAAAGCAACCGTATCCACGCAGCGGAGCCCCCAAAGGCGAACTGCAGAGGCAACAAGCAGTGCTGTGGCCGGGAGGAAGGCGAAGAAGATATTTTCAAACAGAATTGTAAAATCAAAACCACCCCGGCATTCCGACGGTACATTTGGGCCAAAGGACTTGTCGGCGTCTGCACAGAAGTTGGACTCCATTGCTAAGGAGGCTGGAGCATTGCTATGGGAGCATTGCTAAGGAGAAGATTAAGAAGATGATTGTGCGATAAAAGGCAACGCGACTTTTCAGAAGACCCTCAATTACCGTGTGCGACGGTCAACGAGGATTGGGGGATCTCGAAGGCTTGGAGCATCTTGGACGTCGGTTTCACACCGCCGTAGGTGGCAGTGTCACGGTGTCAACATTGAGTTTCATAACCTTATTATATTGCCGCCTTTACCACGAACTGGGGAAAAATCCGGATCGGACTCAACTCGACCTGATAAGAAGATGGCGTTCCAGCTTTCGTACCGTGTTTTCCGTCTCATGCTGATAGAGTTTACAAATCTACAGCAGTGCGGAGCTGCGGGGGAAGGGGTCTCCAGATACCCGCGGTACAGGCGTAATCGTTGTAATCGTTGTAATCCTTACACCCGTTCCACCCTCGAGGGTGTCGCCAAAGTTGATACTAGTAGTGCTATTAGTAGTAGTATTTTCCACTTTAAGCCTCCTGGTTACCCTAGCCCCAAGAGAGTAAACAATTACAATTACGCCTGCGACATAGTAAGAGCCGAGACTGTAGTAGTGGTATCTCCTACTTCGACATCAATGCAGTCGGTTTTCGCACGCCTCCACGCCTTAAATTATGCCCAGCGCAGATTGCTTCCGTGCGCGAGCCCTGAAAGTACGGGGCGGCCATAAAGCAAAAATGCTGGGCCGATGGCTCCATAGTGGCTGAATTCAAGCCATGCGCAAGATCAGTGTCCTAGAACCGGGAACCGGTAACCGGTAACCGGTAAATCGCGAGTGTTCCGAATCAATTGAGTGCAAGATTCAAACGGACTCCTAAGTAGAACACGAGATCAGGTACAGGCAAAGGCAAGAAGAAGCGCCCGCTTTATTCAAGGGAGAAAGAGAAAGCAATTGTCCATTATTGATACTCCGTATAAAGATGAAGAGCACGTGAGCTCGTGAGCTCGCTTAAAGCGCGGCGGCCTGACAGAGCCCGTACGTACTACTATATGAAAGCCCGTTTATAAGAGCTTGTATATACTAGGTACCACGGTACAGGCCTAAGTATTACCCCTCGAGGGTGCCTTAAAAGTTTAGTTTCCACTTTAAACCCCCTGTTTTCCCTACCCTCGAGGGGTAATACTTACGCCTGCGACGTAGTACGTACTACGTACGTAGTAGTAGTAAGAGCACATGTAGTAGCACGTAACGCTGCACCGCAAAGTTCAAAAGTCAACCTTGATTGCTCGCTTATGATTATCGATAAGGTAATCACAGCGCCGGAAGCCTTTGGAACGTGAGTGCGAAATTGGCTTTTCTCGAATCGAATTAGAATCTCAAGCTTACCTATCCGGGACGCACTGGAAAAAAAATTAAAAAAATTCAAAAATTCGCAGCATAGAGCGGCATTCAGTTTAGGGTGTTACTATAAGGCACGCGGAAACTATCGGTTAGATAAGATCCCGAATCATCCGAAGTCCGGATACGCATCCACCCTCTTCGCCTTTCAACGGGAGTCCAAAGCGTAAGTATCAAATTATACGGTATTCGAATTTCCAAGTGACCGCTACTTTATCTGCTTCAGGACGTGCCGATAGCCACGCGGTGTGGTGCGACATGGCACTCATGGCAATTCCTTATATGTAACAGGCTGTAGCAGATTGAGTTCGTAATAGACTTCGATAGAATAGGGTCTGTTTGCGTCAGCAGGAGAAACACGTTCTCGGCAGCCTCGGTTCAACGGACTTCTTATAAGCAGTCTCCTTCTCCCTTCTTTCGTTGAACAACTGCAATCGAATATTTGACATTATTCCCAAATTTTGAAAAAGAGCTCCAATTTGTTTTTGACTTCTCACTCCCAAGATGGCACCTCAAGTTCTCATTCTCGGCATGCCAAGGACCGGCACACAATGTTGGTTTCCTTCTCCTGCTACTTACTGCTGCCAACTTATAATATCAGTTACTAACTAACATCTTACAGCCATCGGCGAGGCACTTCGCACTCTCGGATGTGCCAACGTCTACCACATGACAACGGTTGGCCCGAACAACCATCATGACAAATGGGTCGCTGCCCTCGAGGCCAAATTTGAGGGAAAGGGTCCTATGCCTGGCCGCAAGGAGTTTGACGAGCTCTTGGAAGACTTCGATGTGCGTACCTGATCGACAGTTGATCACCACCGTTCGTATGCTCAAAGATTCCAATGTTAATCCAAATCGATAGGCTGTTTCCGACTTCCCATGCTCCATCTTCTACCGGGAGCTGATGGTAGCCTACCCAGAAGCCCGAATCATCTTGAGCACCCGATCGGAGGATCTCTGGTTCGACTCCATGTGCAAGACCTTGAATTGTGCATTCGTCAATTCCAAGGCCGAGCCATCCCAGCTTGCAAAGCTGTACAACTTGCACCTCTGGGGCAATGATTTCGAGGCCAACGGACGCCAGGCTTTCCGCACGCACATGGCGGGTGTGCACGCCGCGGCCGCCGAGTTGAAGCGAGATGTGCTTGAGTTTGATCCATCGCAGGGCTGGGAGACGCTCTGCGCCTTTTTGGAGAAGCCTGTTCCTCAGGGCGTCGCGTATCCTCGCAAGGATATGTGGGTGCCATACAAGAAGATGACCAGGGAGATGGTGGCTGGACAGTTGACTGAGGAGTCGATCAAGTCCAAGTTGGATTATGCGAAGGAAGCCGTCCCCATCAACA